CGCTAATGGTTGTTGTGTGAAAGTTCAAGGAGGTGCTATACTAGGTGCATGAGACTGGTACGGTGAGGCCCTTTTTGACACAGACCCTTCTTGTTAAACCTTAAAGAGCTGTTCTTACCTGGCTGTTGGGAAACAGGTCTGTTAACACCAGCTGCGCTGGAGTCCTCTCTGATTGTTGATAAACCACGTGGGTCTCAGGGTAGGAGCGTGCTCCACTGGTTTTTCAGTGGCTGATATTTTGGATATAGATCTCCAGACCTTTCTTCCGAAGTGCCTCTGGACGGAATCAAACCCCCATCCTTTGTGTCAATAGGTGAGTGTGCTAAGCGTTTCCACAGGCAGGGACTGCAGAACGGGGTTAGAAGCCACACACAAATTCCGATTTCAGCAGAGGCAGGCCTTTTCTTCATCTTCATCAGGACACATGGAGAGGCTCCGGATGCTGCCCACTGGCTGGGTGTGGAGAGAGTGAACAACAAGATCAGGGGCACTTAGCAGTCCCTCAGCTTCCTGCAAGGCTCCCCCACCCCTTAGTGGGCTCAGAAAGTAGCAAAGCTTCCACTCCCTTCCCAAGTAATAATTTTTAGAAGTACAGATCTCATACCTCCTCAAAAAAGTCATCATCACAGACCAGGTTTGTACCAAACCTCAGAGGGAGATAACTTTGAGACTGAAAACCACCAACCACCAAAAGCTTGACTCTGTTTTACTGTAAACCAAGCCTGGAGTAAAGAGAGCTGGGGATGTACAGCCCAAAAAGGTCGCTGGTGCAAGCTAGGAGTTTGGATGGAAAAGCACAGGATTTGCCTGGGAGCGAGATTACATAATGCAAGATTATACCATGAAACAGGCTTAACGTGGCTTTAACACACTTTCAAATGCATTTTTCCCCCCCAGAATTTCTTCAAGTTTTAAACCATTCTGCTGTCAAGAGTCTGAATTTTATGACAATATATCAGATTTTGAAGTAGCTCTAATATTTCAATCAGATTTTGAAATAAATAAAGCTTTGATTAGATTTTGAAAGAACTAATCAAGAGATGAATTGCATTGGGAAAGTCGGCTGTCAGGGACCTCTCCAGAGTACTGAAGAGCAACGACATCAGGCTGGAGAATAAGGTGCGCCTGATCCAGGCCATAGTCTTTGCAATTGCGTGCTATGTGTCAGAGAGCTGGACAATAACTAGGGATGATAGAAAGAGAATTGATGCCTTTGAGCTGTGGTGCTGGAAAAGATTGTTGAATATACCAGGGACTGCCAGGAGAACAAACTGGTTTGTCCTGGAGAGGGTGAAACCAGGCTGTTCCTTGGAGGCAAGGATTCTGAAACTTTGTCTGACATTCTTTGGACATGTTTCAAGGAGGGACCGGTACTTGGAGAGGGACATCATATTTAGGAGTGTGGAGAGACAGGGCAAGAGAGGAAGAGCCTCAATGAGATGGATCGATTCAGTGATGAGGTTATAGGGGGTGTAGGTGTGTCAGAGGTAATAAGATTGGCTCAGGACAGAGCAGGGATTAGGGCTGTTGTACATAGGGTGGCTAAGAGTCGCACGCGACTTGAAAGCACATAACAACAAAACCAACATTTTGATATTTTACAAGTACTTTTTATTTCATTTTTAAAGTGACAAAATTCAGTAAAAACTCCAATAGATGGGGAAAAAGTTGGTCTGTGTTAGTGAAACGTGAACTGCGTGTTAGTCATGATGGCCCCTGTTGGCCCCATCTGCTTTTACTCATTAGTAATGACTGAGTGATCAGTGCTTTACCGGCAGAATCACTAGCAGCAAATTCAAACAAACAATACCTACAAATGACAGAAACCCCTAACTTGCTGCTGTGGCTTAGACCCTGGCTCAGAGTGACCCCACAGAGCAGGGTAGACTCTCCCTGTTTCCAAGGTTGTAATCTTTACAGAAGCAGACAACCACATTTGTCTTCTAAAGAGTGGCAGATGGGCTTGAACTACCAACCTTTGGGTTAGTAGCCTGGTGCTTAACGTAATCTAAACCCAAACCTACTGCTGTTGAATAGATTTGGCTCATAGAAACCCTCCATTCAGCTGCTGAGGTTATAAATTTTTATGGGAGGAGACTCCTTATCTTTTGCCTTAGAATTGGCTGATGGATTAAAACTCACAGCCCTTAAACTGGTGGTCCAACATGATGCCACAGGGCTCCTACTTTTTAGCCTAAATCCCATTAATTCTCGGCAACAACCAAGGGGGAAACTTTAGCAAAAATTCTAGTCATCAGTTCAGTAATTGGTGAAACGGGACCTCTCTCCATTTCCACATTTACCCACTGAACTAAAACTGGTTCCTGACTGACTGCTGTCCATCCCCCAGCCTTTCCTGAAGTTACAGTTCAGAACTGACCTATCGAGACGCTAGAGGTGCTGCAAATGATTGGCTCCACCAACATTTTTAAAAGCAGCTGAGTTTTATGACTTCCGGGAGAGGACAACAAGTGGAACGAGGTTAATGCCACAGGATGATTTGTGATTAACAGATGGACCATTTTTATGCTCATCTATAATTGAAAACCATTTATTCTCTGGAGTGTTTTGAGTACTTGAGAGGCAGCCTGGTGGAATGAGCAAAGACTGGTCTTCAGAGACGAGCAGACGGCAGTGTTTTTCCTCTTTCCTTAAGCATTTCTCTTTCTGCTCATGGCTAACTTCCTTGTGCTGTTGTACCAGGAGTGCCACCCGTGGACACTCTGAAGGACAGATTTGTATTTTGGCGCCATTCTGGAGACTGAAAGTCCAAAGCAGGGTCTTGCCTGTGCTGGTTCCTTCATTGTAGGGAGATCCTAGGGCATCTTTGGCTCCTCGACTTGTACATCGTCATCCTCCCTGGTGTGTGTGTGCATGGGTGCGTATAATCTGCTCTTTTGAGAATTCAGAAACAGTTAGGTTTAGGATCTATCTACATGGGCATAGCCTCCTTAACATGTCAAAGAAAACTCTATTTTCAAATGGAGTTATATCCGCAGGTTACCGAGTTCTTGTTGTCAGGTGATGGTGATTTTAGAAAACACTCATAGCGGAACCTCCAGCAGGTTTTCACAGGCCGTAAATTACAAGGGAGTCATTGTCTGCCTTTCTCCCCAACATCCACATTAAGATTCCATAATTTTATTTTCTTTTTAGGGGGTGTGGGGAGGCACAATTCCATCCATAGCACTTTACTTCTCCAGCTCTTCTATGCTTTCTCGGAAAGCTCAGATGGGTTCAGCCCAGCCATGTGGACATGGTCTCTAATTCTGAGGCAGTGCTCATTGTTCCTGAAGTTTCACTGTAGTGGAACATGTTTCCTTATGACATGAGAAACACAGCTCTACTTCTCGTATGAAATCATTGACCAGATTTCATCGAGAAAATCAACTTTCCAAGTGCTTCCTGCTGTGCAATGCCTTTCTTGGGCTATAGTTTAATTACAGATTTTCTTAGGAGAGAAAACTGCTAAGAGAATCAAGTGTGGGAGACTGTGAATAGGAAGATGAGAAAAGTGTGGAGCATTTTAAAGAAGAGAGAGGAAGGAAGCCCAGGGCTTAGCTATGTGCCAAGGAGCAAGGCAGCTTGTTATAGGCAAGGTAGACCAGAACTCACTCTCTGCATTGGGCCTTGGCAGGCCAGGTTGCCTGCTGGACACCCAGGAACAGAGCTCAGTAGGTCCTCTTCCCTAAGCTGAAAGTGAAAACAGATCAGCTTCCTCTGAAGTCCATGGACATCTGCTCTGCTGTCCTCTAAGGAGGCTCTGTCCTTCCCTTTGGGACAGGAGGAAGGAAGGAAAATCTTACGAACTGGAAAGGGAACAAATGAATGGAAAATGCAACCAGATGTTGGCTGGCTGGGGTAGAGGAGAATGTCTAAATTTCAGGTTCCAAGTCCATGTATAAATGGATTAGAAATGAGCATTAAACAAACCATCCTGCCAAGCTGAGTCATTGCGACTTATTCTTTAATTATTTGTGCACTTCGATTCTGTGATTTCCTGATGCTGTCAGTTTTCATTTCCAGTTAAACTTCCTCCAGAATCCTTTGAAAGGACCTCACAGAATTCTTGAAAACGAAGACCCTCAAGCAAACTTTCCCCTATAGATTTGCTGTAGGTTCTTTCACGCCAGTGTATTTCCAGTTTGATGAAGTAACTCTCTTTCCCATTGAGTCAGGGAAAATGAAGAATCTCTTCTATTGATCTCCAGCTCTGATTGGTGTCTAGTGATTTTAGGATCAAGGCTTGTTTATTTCAGAACTGTAAGCTTTCCCATTGCCTTCATTCCCACAGATAGGAGACTTTGACGTGGCAATGCAAGTATTTTCTCATGTAATACTCCCCGTGTATTTAACTTTCAAGTCTTTGTCCCAGAGAGCAATGAGATAATGATAGGAAATAGCCGACATTCTATGTTGCTTTCCCCCCCACCCCCACAAGCTATACAAATATACAGAACTTTTGGATTCCTCCTGTGGATTTCTGAGGAGGATTGAATAATCATTTTTCTCCTCACTGAAAAGGCTGAGGCACCAACAAGAATGTCATTAACAGATGACTGGCTTGTTGGAAAATAACCTTTCATTACGAGTTTATGAACAAAATTTTAAATGCTAAATTCAGACAGCTGTAAAAAGTAAAAGCAGATTTGAAAAGAAAGAATGCCATCAGTGATGGAAATTTCTTCATACTTTCACCTAAATCTTATTTATTGAATTTAAAATGGTAAATAAAACTTTTTTGGTTTTGGAGAATCCGCCTAGTTTTCGGATTTTTTTTTTACCCTCTTTACTCTAAAAAGGTATCAATTGCCCTGTTGAGTCACAATGCAACCAGGTGTTCAAAATCACAAGGGGACACAGATTTTGTTTCTTACTGAATTGGGGGGGAAAAAAAAAGAAAAAGGAGTTGGTGTAAGCAGGGCTTAAGAATATAAAAAATGAAGACCTATTCAACTGAACTTTTTTTTCCCCCCTTCTCTTCCCTAAATCCCTTACAGGAGTAATTCTGCTACAGGGCTGATTGCAAAGACGTGAATACTTGACCTCACGCCAACGTCAGAACCTCAGATGTCATCCTAACTCCTCCACCATCCCAGACAAGTTGACTTTCTATGGAAATAACATTGAACCTTCCGGGTCTGATGGAAATTCACTGTGACATTCCAATCAAGAGAACTGGCTGAAACCCACCGAGCCTTTTCCCCATGGGCCCTAATGGTGGCCTCCAGCAGACGCAGCCTCAGGTGGTCCTCTTACTGCTCTGGCAAGAGTGAACGTTGGGGCTGGGTTTGCACCACCACCTGTGGAGAAGATGGTATGCGAGGGAAAGCGCTCAGCCTCCTGCCCCTGCCTCTTCCTGCTGACCGCCAAGTTCTACTGGATTCTCACCATGATGCAAAGAACTCACAGCCAGGAGTACGCTCATTCTATCCGCATGGATGGGGATATCATTCTGGGGGGTCTGTTCCCTGTCCACGCCAAGGGGGAGAGAGGGGTGCCTTGTGGGGAACTGAAGAAGGAGAAGGGGATCCACAGGCTTGAAGCCATGCTTTATGCAATTGACCAGATTAACAAGGACCCTGATCTCCTGTCCAACATCACTCTGGGTGTCCGAATCCTTGACACGTGCTCCCGGGACACCTATGCTTTGGAGCAATCGCTGACTTTCGTGCAGGCGTTGATAGAGAAGGATGCTTTCGACGTGAAGTGTGCTAACGGGGACCCGCCCATTTTCACCAAGCCCGACAAGATTTCTGGCGTCATAGGTGCTGCAGCCAGCTCCGTGTCCATCATGGTTGCTAACATTCTAAGACTTTTTAAGGTGGGTAAAGCCATTGTCGTTACGGTCGTTTTGAAGGGTGAGCAAATCGACTTTAACAGCAGGTTGAAGAACAAAGGGAGGAAAGCAAAGATGCTCCTGGTCCCTTTTCATCGACTCCAGGTTCCTCATATGTGGCATTTGGTCTCCATATGTGCTGATTTTGTTCCATTACTTCCCATTAATTAGATTGGTGAGGCTCTTTCATTTTTTTCTCCAAAGAGATAGATGATGATTTTGGCTCCGAATTTTGCTGACATGTTGGGTCCTCAGCATCTTGAGTTGTCCTTCTGTTTGAGGCTTGTTTTAAACAAGAGCCAACATTTTTAAAGGGGTATAATGAATGCGTAGGGAGCTCTGGTGGCCCAGTGGCAAGAAGCACCGCTGCAATCTCTAAGGTGCACTGTTTGAACCCAGCAGCTGTTCTGCAGGAGAAGGATGGGCAGTCTCCTCCCGTATGATTAACTGCCTCTGAAAACCTGCTGGAGGGTCAGCTGCGGGTTGTATCTGGCTCCATAGTGTACAAAACCACCATGAATGCTCAGCACGTGTATCACGCACTTTTCTATGAGACTTGCTCTCCTTGAGGTGTGAGAAAATGGATTTGGTGCAACTTCTTTAATGTGGGTTGCTGTGTTATGAGGCAAGTTCTCATGTGGAGAAGCAATATTTCTTCCCAGTATGTAAATGTGAGTGACACCCTGGGAGACGAGAAGGTCATAACATGTCAGGTATATGATAGCTATAATAGAGTAGCATCTCATTAACTCAGACGGCTCTGATGTACACTTGGAATAATTATGTATAATGCTTATTAAGTTAAAGTTTAAAAGGAGCAGATTCAGTCAAGGCTTTGATTTAAGTTTGATCATCTATTGTCTATAAATTGCACTAATATATTAAAAATAATTGGCAAAATGAAATAATATGTAGAAAGCACATTGACAAGTGCAACTCTCTGCTTTTCACTGACAGCCCAGGTGATGCAGTTAATTTCTCAGGTGCTGACCTGAGGGTTGGTGGTTCTCATCCACCCAATGCCTCTAATGAAAGACTTGGACAGCCGCTTCTGTAAAGAAGGAAGAAATTCTGTCCAAGAAAATGACATGCAAGAAGTTCCTCCGAGTGGTTCTCATTGGTCTCATGGAATTCCTATGAATTGAAATGGATAAGTTCACACTAAAAACAACAGTCTCTTAAACTAGACAAACGTAAAAGTAGTGTTTAAGCCATAATTATATTTAATTTTTTAAATTATTATACAAGTTTATTTACAAAAATTAAATATATTGTTTTCAAAAACAAAGTACACTTCCATGATTAATACCCCCCCTCTGCACGTCCTCATCCCTCTGCTTTCACCACACCCCCCTCCCCCGCCTGATCCTTATACGCATTCTGGTTTCTTACTCAGTGGGATGTGTCTTTTACAACTTATTACAAGGTAATGAAGTTTCATACTGTGAAAAGTTTATGTTAGGTTTGAAAAAAAATTTAAAAGAATAGGGAGAAGTTGGACAGATGACAGCTGTGGAGACTAAATGAACATAGTGATGGAACGTCTCACAGAAAAGTTGAAAGGATGGTTCATTCCCGGGTTTTGGCACAAAAAAAGAAAAGATGAATGGAACTGAACCAAAATCTCTCTTGATTGGGCAGTAATTTGGGGGGACTATCTACTTTGGTGAGCTCTGGTGGCCTAGTGGCAAAAAGCTGTGTTGCAATCCCAAAGGCACGTGGTTTAAGGCCACCAGCTGCTCCTCAGGAGAAGAACAGGCAGTCTCCTCCTGTGCAGTTATCTGCTTCTGAAAACCCGCTGGAGGGTCAGCTGTGGGTTAGTTCTGACTGTATGGTACAGCAACAACAACAGTCTACTTTGATTGGCTTCTTGTGCTGGAATTCATGTGGCATCCACCTTTGAGTGGATTCCCATAGCTGAGTCCTTGTCTGAGTGAAGATACAAGACCGAGGTCCTTCAGCATTTCCTGACACAGTGGATTCTAGGTCTTCACCCAGCAGGCCTGGTTCTGTGCTGCTGTTCTCTGCCCCTGGCTGGCTGCTCCATAGAGCAACCAAAGAGGTAACTGAAGATTCCTAGTTCAGCTAAACCATTGACACTTGACTTACACTCTTACTGGTGGCAGGTGGAACCACCCAGTGACTCCACAAAAAAAGGCCTAGAAATGGGATTTCAGAATGATAACAGTCAAGGAAACCCTGTCAAACAGTTCTGCTGTGTATCACATGAGTTGCCTTGAGTTGGAATTAGCCTGATGGAAATGAGGTGGGTTTGTGTGTGTGTGTATTTTTCTTTTTTTATCCCCCCTGAAGAGGCTGTTCAGTCATTCAGAGGCTGAGTGACTATTTCCAGGTTGATGAAATCTTCTCAAATGGGAGATGCTGATGTTTCCTGTGTCTAAGGAGCTCTGAAGAGGTGTCAGCAGGATGCAGGGAAAACTGGTCACGTTTTGGCAGGACAGTGGGGAGAGTATCTTGGTAAAGAGAAGGCCAAATGATTGAGAAAGGCAGGCATGGGGGCTCTAATTCTCCATTTCCAGAATCTTCACGGAAGCTGAGCCAGGACCACCACTACGACCTACTCCCTTTGGGTCGGTTCTAACTCTGACCCTAAAGGACAGAGTGTCTTCTCCTTACAGCTTCCCAAGGCCGTAACTCTTTATAGAAACCAGTCGCTGCACTGTTTTGTTTTGGGTTTCTTTTTTTTTTTAACAGTTAATGAATCTGAACTACCAACCTTGGAGCCCAACACTTAACACTGACTTCCCAGGGCTCCTTGGAAACCAAGCAGTTGCTAATAACATTTCTTGGGTGAGCTGAGCCCTTGTCTGGGGGAAGACATAAAGCTGAGACACCTCATTCTTTCTTGACACACAGGGTCCACGTTTTTGCCCGGCAGGCTTGGTTCTGTGCTATTGTTCTCTGCTCCTGGCTGGTGTGCAGCTCCAGACCCAGCTCCTTTCCCAACTCTTTTCTTGTCACTGACTTGTCTTCCCATTCACTTTCTGCAAAGCATCTCTTTTCTATTCTTAGCTACAGTGGCTCAGTAACACTCATTACTTGAGAAAAGGGAAACCTGCATGAGAATCTTACCCTTTTATATGTTGTGGGGTTCTGTCAGGCCAATTTTTGACTGATAGTGACCTTAGACGATATAGTAGGACTGCCCCATGGGGCTTCCTAATTTGTAAATATTTACAGAAGTAGATCGATGGGTCATACTCCTGTGGAGCCGCTGGTGGGTTCAAACTGCCAGCCTTCCCATTAGCAGGCACGTGTTTAACTATCATACCACCAGAGCTGCTTTCCATTGATGTATCTGTCCCTTATAAATTCATTCTGGTTCTCATCAACCTAATTCCATCTAATTCCTGCTCATCTCATCTTCTGCCTGTCGGCGTGTGGCCAGCCAAAAGCAGGCAAGGATTTGGGGAGGCTGTGGGTGGAGGAGATCAAGGGCTTATTTGGGGGTTTCAAAGCTTTTTATATTATTTTTACCGTGGATTCAGCAGTAAGACAGGTGGGCTGTTGGGTGGATTTAACATGATAATGCAGGTGAGGGGACCCCCGGGGCCTGTGCCCTTTGGCACCGCAGGGTTCTTTTTTTCTCCTTCAGCCAGAAAACCAGTTGGCACTGAGTCAATTCCAGCTCATGACGATGCTGTGTGTGTTGGAGTAAAATTGCTCTCCACGGGGTTTTTAATTGATTATTATTTTGTGAGATTTTCTTTTATTTGAAGGATTATTGACAAAATACTGTAACTGTAGATTTGCTTTCTGTCAGCTGGATGTGTTAAGTGTTTGGAATCCCATTCGTACATATAAAAGCCAACAGGAGTGCCAGAAGTTTAGGGAGATTTACTTTTGTTCATCTTTTCCACACTGAAGTTGTAAGCAAACCACCTGAAAGGATCAGGGTGATTGCAGCCATGTAATGCATGTCTTTGTTAAATTGAGTCTTGGTCTTAACATGAATGGTTCTTACTGCAGAAGCAAAGGAAGAGACAGGCAGGATTATCCAAAGGGTGGCTGAGGTTTTAGACATAGATTAGTAGGCATTTCTTTGGTGACTTCTTCTGGGTAGTCTTGACCCTCCAACTTTTCTGTTAGTACCTGGGTATGTTAACAATCTCTGCCACTCCAGGGCCTTTTTCTGTCAGACTTATTTCTTGCAAGTGGACCTACGTTCTCTCTGGTCCATTCTCTTTGATACTGTTGAATCGGTGCTGACTCTTGGCAGCCTCATTTGTGTTTAACAGAGCAAATGTTGCCTAATCCTGCTCCATCCTCAAGGTCATTGCTATCTTTGAATCTGTTACTGCAGCCACTGTATCTGCTCATCTTACTGAGGGTCTCCCTATTTTTCTCTGAACCGCTACTTCACCAAGAATTATGTCTTTCTGCTGAGATTAGACCCTTTTAATGACATTTGCAATGTAGATGAGTGGATCTTGCCACCCTCACTTCTAAGGAGCATTCCGGCTCTGCTTTTAAGAGAGATGTGCTTATGTTTCTAGGATCTATGATATATAACCTCCAAGTAAACTCTCAGACACCTATCTGTTCTTCTATGTAATTAAAGGTATAGAGAAACTCTTGGGACTGAGAGTAAATATAATCTCTGTCTTTTTTTTTTTTTTTTAATGCTCCTGGCAAGGTTATGTCTTCACTAGCAGGAACTGTAGGGTTCTATGGGAGGGAAACTGAGTCCTCCAGGTCACCCCTCTTTCTGGCCCGGTCCCTACCTTGGCAGCCTTCCTTGCCCCATCTATTCCATGGTGCTTTCCTTGTTGAAGGGTGACTGGTGGTTTAGTGGTAAGAAATTATGCTACCAAGGCAAAGGTTGTTGTTTTGTTGCTATGTGCCATCGAGTCGCTTGTGACTCATAGTCACCCCATGCACAAGAGTCCTAAACGCTGTTCTATCCTGTGCCAACCTAGCCATCTCAAAAGCACTCATTCCCACCACTCTAGTCACAGAATTGA